GTCTTGCTTAGAAGTAGGTTGTAGTAAAATCAACAGGACTTGCATGCATGTAAGTGCAAAACTAAATTTCGGAGATTCTCTTGAATGCATGTGCAATTAACTTCTTTACTGATACAACTGGTTTATTGGAATGAGTTCCACTTTTGTTAATTCTAGTTTATTACATCTTCCTTCTCTGCTCCCCACTGGCTTTCAGACTTCCTCGGGCTCAGATTATATAGCATTACCTCACCTTTGGTTCTCAACAGCCAGATGAGTTTGATTTTACACTCAGGGACTATAGCTTGACAAAGGCCAATCTGCACTCTTCCTGTCGGAGCAGGAATTTGAATTTGGGTCTTGTGTGTTGGAATAAAACTTCACTGGCTGCCCTGCACTGGCTGATGCAAAGTCTGAGGCATGCCTCTGGCCCTCCCCTCCTGGGAAGTTTAGTAACGGCCAACTGCTTTTCCTCACAGTTCTGTCCTGCGGCCTCTTCCTGCTTCCGGTTGGGCTTGCAGCTTTGCTCACGTGGAAGCTGCTAGCCAACGCTCTGGAATGATTTGTGCAGAATTTGAAACACAAAGCTGTGCTTCCAAGTATTTTCTGCTGAGGCGGTGGTTAAGCTTGATTAGCTTTTTTAAAACCTCCTCCACTGAACCTGTTTCTGGTTTCTGGATCAGACCTGCCCAAACACAGCAGCTGTTCCTGGTTGCGACTGCAGGGGGAGGGATCTGCTTGTCCCGAGTGAAATACTTCCACGTCCTCTTGCGTGTTGGCTTTAAAAATATGTTTTGCATTTAAGGTTATGGCCCGAGCATGTGGGAAGCGGTGGCAGCATGTGCCTGTAAAGTGCCCACATGCCTGGCTTATCGGCTTGGGGCTCTTGTGTGCAACGGTGTGTGTAGGAGGGCCCGTTCCATTTATATATGCATTATATGTACTGTAAAATAAGGGCGGGTGGCTCGGCTGCTGTTGCCATCAGTCCTTCCAACCGGCGAGTTGCTCTGGGGCTCTGGACAGCATCTTCACTCAGTACATGGCACGTTCCCATTTCTGGAGACAAGCTGCTGAATGTTATGACAGGGAGTAAAAATTTCTCTGTCTTTCACAGCCCGGGCCTTCCTGTCTTGTATCACATTTGAGAGAGCACAGGCAGCTGCCTCCGCGGCAGCTTCATCCAACCTTTGCCCCTTGGCCTTTACCACTGAGCCAGCTGCTTGGCCACACTTACATTTTGAAGTGGCTGTTAAATCTTCGTCCAGTCCACACGTGCAAGAAGTGCTACTTTCTCCATTTGCACAAGGTTGTTCGCAAGCAGCGCAGTCCCGCGGCCCTTGTGGATGTCGCTGTGGTGCCCCACTCGGGTCTCCCTAAAGTTCCCCGGAGTAGAAGCTTGAGTGGTTTTCCCCCTCCTGCTGCTGCTGCCGCCGCGTCCTCCCCACAACATCCCTGTGGGGCAGAACGGATTGAGAGAGGATGACTGGGCCAGTTCCCCCCACGGGAGGCTTTGCCTGTGTAGGCCGTGTGTCTGACCTCTGCAGGAAAAGCAAGGAAGTGGGCAGAGGGTGGATGTGGGCTCCTCGGAATGTGAGCTGTTCTTCTTGCAGCCTGTGTAGTCATGGATCGGATGCCCAGGGGATCTAGTCGTGCATCCGCTGTCTCACCCTGTAGCAAAAGTCTGTGACTAGGAGTTGTTCTTGAGGAGTTAAGCAGCGCAGGTGCAGAATTTAACTCCTTGGTGCAGCCAGAGCTGATCGCGGCGTCTCTTTGGCTGGCTGTCTTCTCTTCTTGGGGAGCCATCTAGCCGAGTTGGTCGGAGCTCTTCCTCTGGATGCTTAGCTGCAGTCGGCACTTGCACCCGATAAAGGAGAGCCAGAGCCTGCTCTTCCTTCTGAAATGGAGGCTCGCAGTACGAAGGATTGCAAGCTGAAGGGGTGTTAACTAGACGTGTGTTTTAAAAGGAAATTCCGGAAGAGGAGAGCAGCAAGGGTGGGAAAGACAACTGGAGAGGGAATTGGGTGTCGGGCTGATAAACTGCGTGGCGATTTTGGGAAAGAAAGACCTGTAGGGGAGAGAGAAGTGAGCCTCTGAATGTGAGATCCACAAAGTTACTCAGTCTTAAGGGCAAGGTGATGTTTCTGATTCTTTGACCAGAGCTTTAGATGTTCGGTAGGCCCCGTTGCAATTTACCGCAACTCTTTGCAAAAAGCTCTTAGGTCACAATGAGAAGTTTGCATCAGTTGTGAAAATGAGGTAGAAGGGATTGGAGGAAGATCGGCCAGAGCTTTGGGACAGAGTTGCCCTTTCCCACAGCGGGAGGAGCCGTGCGAGGTCATCCTCTTTAAGCTCCCATTGGTCAGCCTGGCGATGGGCCTTCACTGTGTAGCAACCCAGAGCAAACAGCGCCACCTTATCTGCCGCCGCCACCTACCGTTCCTGGGAGCATTTGGAGATCTCCTGTTTCTCTTCCTTGGCCCAGCCCTGGGCGGTGGGCTGCTGCTTTCCCAATTCCACAGTGAGCAAACTGAGGCAGCCGTACCCTGAGACCCCGAGATGTGTCCTCGCTTCCTCCGGATGTGCACGGGAGTGAGCCAGAGGGCTTGAGGAGAGCCTGGTGCAGGCATTTGAAACCCTGAAGTGTGAGGGAGCCTCATGCCTTGGCCCTGCCCCAGACTGGGTGGGCTTCGTTGCCAAATACCTGGGGGACCGGCGTGTGGCTACCAACTTTCTGCAGACCTTCCCTCTTGCTTCACATTTGGATTCTTGGGTAGGGCTAATCTGAAGAAGACCAAGACTGCCGAGAGGTCAGTGGAGAAGCAGGGAACGTGAAGGGAAGATGCTTCCGGGGGTTCCAGATTCCTCGCTAGGAAGGGGTGAGCGTGCCTTTGGAGGTCGGCTGCTGTTGGGACAGCCTCCCATGTGGGGATGCCAGTTTCTGATGCTCTTCTCAGGAGACCCAGTTCTAGGTTCCTAAACCGTGTGGGGTGCAGCAGGCTCAGGACAGGGGGCTTCCTTATCAGGGTGCCAAGGCTGTGGGACTCTGCCCCTTTTGCCGCTCTGGGGTGCAGGGTCCTGCTCATTGAACTAGCTTTTAGTTTTGTTGTTAGTATCAAGTGAACTTGTAGCTTCTACATTTTAAAGTGCTTCGGAGCCACCTGGTAGCTCTAAAAAAGGTAGGGCACAATTGCTTTAATTGATCACCACAACACCACACCAAGCTGTTCGGCGTAGCTGGGAGTAATCCAGCTGAGAATCGAGCAGTCTGCAAGCATGTCTGAACTGGCTGGTGCTGGTGGCGTGCAGGCGTGCGGCACGTTCAACCGTGTCCATCGTTCTCGGTGCACATCCAGATGCCGTGAAGACTGCACACCCGCACGAGTTGCCGTCTTCCTCAAACAGCTGCCTGCCGCCATCCTCGGGCAGCTACCTCAGAACTCCCTGCCACCATCTGCATGCAGGTTTCCTGCAGATCTCAGCAAGGAAGGCTGCGCTGTGGAGGAGTCTGGCAATGCGTGAAATTCACTGTGTTCCAGCTGCGTGGTGTGTGTCCCCCCCCCCCCCCCGCACACCGCTCCATCTCTGGCGCCCACTCGGCTGTGTGCGCCTTCTCTTCCCCCACAGAGGAAAGTTGTTCTGGGCACTCTGGTTCTGCTGCCATTTCCGCTGCTCAAGTGGGTCACTTTCTCATGGAGGAGAACAGGCAGGAGGAAGTGTTTGCCGGCGCTTTGCTTGCTGTCACATTGTTTTTGGGAGATCCAAGCCTCCCTAAGACGAACCCTCTTCTCTCTGCCGCCAGTCTTTCCCATCTTCCTTTTCAAGCACCTTTGTCTTAAGATAATATTTCCCCACAAGTTTGTAGGGAGATCTTGGAGAGCTCACCTTTCAGCGACTCCTTTGGCTTCTGGCCTTTGAAATGACAATGCAGTGTTTTTTGGGGGGGTGGGCACTGATAATTTTGTGTGTGGGAAAGGCAGCACATACGGAGTGCTGGTGCAGCTGGCATGTGCGTGCTGTGGGATCTCCAGAGGTGCTTCTGAAGAAGCTGGATAAGCCTCTCCAAGGACAGGGGCTCGAGCTCCCAAGCCTGGCCTTGCATCTCAGGGCAGGGCATTTTGGCCTTGCTCACGGCTAAGGGGTCCTTCTCTAGGGCTGTGTCAGTCAGGCTGGTGAGGAATCACCCTGCAGCCTGAAATACAGTCTTGCTGTTTATTGTTTTTATTACCACCAAATAGCCAGAAGCTCTTTTTGGTGGCCCAGAGCAATTAAAACCATCCAGTGCAAAGTGCATATTTTTAAATTGAAAGCTTCAGTGTAAAACCAACCAAAAAACCAGTTGCAGCATGACAATTAAAAATGCTACAATGGGTTTAAAAAAGGCAAAAGCCAAAGGGCCAAAGTGGCTTGGGGGATGAGAGGAGACGGCACTGAAGGCACTGAGCAGGCCTCTGCAGAAGGCCTTCCCCCACCGGCTGCCCCCTCTGAGGAGTCCCTTTCTTTGGCCTCTGCTTTCTGAGGTTCATTTAGCCTTTTCTGCAGAAGAGAAGTGAGGCATGCCATGAATGTATTTGCATTCTCACTCTGGGATGCAGGCTGGCTCTGCTTGCAGACTTCACTCACAGGGCCTTGCAGGCTACTGGAGGAGAATCCCTTGTTGCCTGTTAACGGGCATGCAGCCACAGGAGAGGGGTAGTCAGTGGCCTCCCAAGGTTGCCCGAGCAGATAGAGCTGTTTACTGCCAGCACAGCTGAATGGCAGAGTACTGGCTCCGGGCCTCAGACTCCCATCACAGCCATGAAGCTCAGTGGGAGACCAGCAGCCCGACCTTGCTCTGATCAGAATCTTTCAGCTAATCCCAAGATACACCGCAGGGTTGTTGTGAGGCTGAAATCGAGAAACATTCTCACCGTTGCACATCGCCTAATAACCTAATAAACAAAATGTGGGGCAAGGAAACTGGTGGCTTGTACTGGGCCGTTGATTCCCATCCTTTCCCATCCCCAACCTCTGTGTCTGCTCAGATGTTCCAGAAGGAGCAAGTTGACCCTCTTCAGCTAAAACTCCAGCAAGTCAATGGACTCGGACAGGGACTTGTCCAGAGCGCAGGGAAGGATTGCGACGTGCAGGGCTTGGAACATGATATGGAAGGGATCAGCGCCCGCTGGAACACTCTTAACAAAAAGGTGAGGCATCCCTGGGCAGGTGGGAGGGTACAGGATGCAGCTGCCCTGCCGGCATGAAGCAGGCTGGTTGGGGGCCCTGCACAGTGCAGAGAGACTGTTTGGGTGCAGTAGACTTCTGTGCACAGAAAAGCTGAGAAGGCTGGGCCAGCTTGTTCTCCCATCTGCACGATGCAAGGCAAGCCATCCCTTACAAAGCATTTGTGAGGATCCAGGGAGCCACAGAAGCAGTGTTTCTGCCTGCTGGTGTGCAAGTGGTTGCAAGCACGCATCACTCAGGTGGCGCATCAGTGTATCTCTTTGCGTTTGGGCCACTCGTAGGTGGCGCAGAGAATCGCACAACTGCAAGAAGCCCTGCTGCGCTGTGGGAAATTCCAGGATGCCTTGGAGCCTTTGCTCAGCTGGCTGGCAGATACGGAGGAGCTCATCTCCAATCAGAAGCCCCCATCTGCTGAATATAAAGTGGTGAAGGCTCAGATCCAAGAGCAAAAGGTAAGTCAAAGTCATGCTCAAGAGGGAGAGCCACCTTTTTTCCGAAGGACAGAGGGGGAGCTGGTTCTCCGTAGGTTCTCTCGGCCATTGACGCTGAGCTCTGCTGGCGGTGGCGGCTGGTTTGCCATTAGTAGAAATGTTTCCCTTGCTTTTTCTGGCTAGATGTCTGTACAGCTCGCCCACTCACAGCTTCCTTCTCTCCCTTCTCTGTGTGCCTTGGAAGTGGGAGAAGGGAAGGCAGGAAGGTGTCTGAGAGTGGGCAGGCTCCACAGGATGGAGAAGGGAGACGGTGGGTGAGATTGAGGACAGGCAGCTGCCTCCCATTGTGCAGGCAGCCTCCACACGGAATGACCTCAAGCTGCTGCCTCTTGGAGAAGGTGACCACAGGTGGGACGTGCTAGCAGTGGGGCTGGATGCTGTTGAGAGGAGTGCCAAGAAAAGGGGTAAGGAGGAGCGGGGCCTGATTGTGATGGAGGAGAGAGAGCATGAGCTTAGCAGAGGGAGAAGTCATTTTCTAGGCAGTGGGGATGGTTGGCCTTTTTGGAGGTAGAAGGATTTTACATGATCAGAAAGAACTGATCTTAATCTGATTTTACTTAATCAGAAAAATTTTATTCTCTTGACTACTTCCAAATATTTTGTTCTGAAGCTTCTTCAACGTCTCTTGGATGACCGGAAAGCTACCGTTGAGATGATCCAAGCCGAGGGTGGGAGAATAGCCCAGTCTGCCGAACCAGCAGATCGGGAGAAGATAGTTGGCCAGCTGGACAGTCTGGGAAGCCAGTGGGCCGGCCTTCTCAGCAAAGCTGCAGCCAGGTAACACTCAGTCGTGCCACCTCATAGCGTTGAAACGCGAGAAGCCCTCTCTTTGCTGTGCATGCTCCCCCTCCCCAGAGAAGCATCCCTGGCATTCTTTGGCACTGCTGTCTCCGCCGCTTCGTAACGCAGGAGCTCTTTTATGGACCTCAACTGCCTCTGCATTGCCAAACAGCTGTGGAACACATTCTCTGAAGCTTTTCTGTGCTCGACAGAATCCCTGCGCTCAGCGTGGCTGGAATGTTGCAACTGTAGGTTATGTATTTTTTCTGCAGTGACAATGGCATTAAAGATCGGGTCTTGCTGAGCTTTGGCTACCAGTTAATCCTTTTGAGTTTTGACTCACAAGAATCAGTATAGGAACACTTTTGTCCATTTTCCAGCTTTCTGATTTATATACTTTACATAGTTCTTTTTGCTTATTAACTGATAAGCAAAACCGTACACTTTTGAACTGGAACAATATACTTTCATATCAGTTCATTATTCAGATAATTCTTTGGCCCAAGTGACAGACCTTTAACTGAGATTTTTCCATGAATACCATCCAGGTCATCTTAACAGCTATTTTTTATGCCACCTGTGCAGAATTCATTGTGAACCTGCTTGTGCCCTGATGCATTTTCCTTTAATACAATTACTCCTCACAATTACTACAATTTATTTGCATTTTCAAATTCTTAATAATTTATCATTAAACATTTGGAATTAGCTTTTCCTAATAAAGTAGCCCACATGGTTCTTTAGAGAGGTGGGTTAGCTTTCTAGTAGCCTTCCAGCAAATCCAGTAAAGCAAAGACAGCTATTCTAGAAACTCTAGGACTACAGGATGGAGTAGAGGTGGTTTGCGGAATAGCCTCTTGTATGTACGATGCTCCAAAATGTCGTAATCCTGAGCAGCGCTGGCCAAAGCGTGAGAGCTGTTCAGGGCTCACAGTGAAACTTGGTTTGCTCAGGACCAGCCCAGTCTGCAGGCCGTTGCTTTCATGTTTGGTGACATTGGGGAATACGTCCGTGAGTTGGAGCTGTCCAAGAAGAGAGAAAAACTCCCACTCATTTCAGCTGGAATATAAAGGAGCGTGTCCTAGGGAATTTTTCACCTGTGGGTCAGGTATATCAGGGAAGCCACTTGGCATCCCAGCTCTGCCACTCCCCCTCAGTACTGGCTTTATTTTGGGGCTGCTTCCTCCATCTATCATTATAGTAGCTATAGGCATAGCTAGCTAGCTGTAGCTGTTGCTGTTACATTGCATTAGCATCCTGCCTTTTCCCTCTTGTGGGGGACCTGAGGCTGCTTCGCGTAACTCCGCTTTATCCAGGAACAACCACCCTGGGAAGTCGGTTGGCCCAAGAGCCCGTGGCAGGCCAGAGCCGCTCTGTGAGCGTCACAGCCAAGTGGGGACTAGAACCCAGATCTCCCAGGTGCCCGGTCCAGCCCTCTCCTCACCACACCCACTGGCCCTCAGGTTCATGCTGTTTCAGGGCACAGAATGGAGTGACCAGAGAGAAAAGGGCGAAGGGACGGTTGCACATTCCTTCTGGAGTGCTTTAGATTTCCTCTCCTTCTCCCGCCTTCCCTTGAAGAAGGTGGTTAGTGGGTGCATGCAGGTTTCTGCACAGCCCTGGAGTCTGGTGTTTCTGTGAAAACCAGAATGTGACCTCTGCTCCTGCAGCCCCAGGCCTGGCAGTTCACGGGGGGACCACGCCGCAGTTTCCTCAGCGTGTGCTGCCCCTTGCACCTTCCCCACGTTTCCTAGCAGGGTGTTGGCCACACGGGGCACAGAGGGGTGGACTCCCTCTTGACCACGCTGCGTGTGAGCAAGAGGAGCCAGCCCGAGGCTCTCCAGGTGATACAAGCCCCTGTAAGCCGGCAGGCGAAAGCGTTGGCGCCCTGCACAGCCAGACTGCAGAGAAGATCCGCACACACGATGCAGAGCAGCTCGTGACATAAGATGGGCACGGTTTGGTCTCCCTTTTGGCGGCTCTGGCCACTTAGTCCACACACGAAGGGACGCGCTGGGCGAAGGGCTTTTGCAGGTGGCCTTGGCTGGCATCAGCGCTCGCTGTGGAGGGGCTCTTGGGACTTGTTTTCCATGTCAGCGCTTCGCTCTGAAACTTCAGCAGCACTAACACCCAGAGGATCCATATACAAAGTCTGTTGCCAGATGCTGTTCTCCGGGTGGTCATCCTGGCTGAACCCTAGTCTGTGCGTTGCTGTACCCATGGAAGCTTGTCTGGGACCACACAGTCATCCTTCTGGCACCCGTGAAAAACACCTTTTTGTTTCTCCAGCCTTTGAAAAAAAATACTTTTAACACTGGTGCCTTTATGCTGCTTTGATTGCCTTTAGAACCTGTTTTTGTCCTATTTTTAAAAGTATTTTTGGATGCTTTGATATTGTGTGAGCTGCACTGGAGAATTTTACTGAAGAAAATTGCATTAAATGTAGAATAGTGGGGATGTGGTCATATACACAGGGCCTATCCCTCACCTCTGGAAAGGTAAACTCACCTGGATGAACCCTCAGAATCAGAACTCCCCCAGGCTGCTCTGAGCATGAGCCTGAGACAGTGTTTCAACACAAGCCTGGAGCTGCTGCCAGCAGGATCGGGGCCAGCGCACGTGCCCTGCAGGCGACTGTTCTGCAGAAGACCAGGCCATGGAAGGCTCACCGGGTCTGGCAGGCTCCTTCCCCGCAGTGGCCAACCAGGCGCTTCTTGGCAGTCCGCTGGCAGCTGCCCTACTTCGGTTTTGTCTGTCCTGACTCTGCTTCACTGGATGAACCTGAGAGAGGCTCCTCTCCCTTGGTGGGCGGTGTTCAGACATGTCAGCTACACTGGCTTATAAGTCCCCCATGGCCCCTCCCATCCAGTCAATCCCCGAATACTGGTGTTAGCTGCTCTCTAATGCTTTGACACGCAGGCTGATGACAACTGTGACAACTGTCATGTTTTTGTTAAGATTTCACTTGATGTTCCTTAAGCACTCTCAGGCTAATGCCATGCATGCAGGGCAATTTGCTGGTTTTGAACATTGCTTTGTCCTGGAATTTCACCCCTTTTCACCCTGGTTTGATTCAGTTCACCAAGCCTTCTCCTTCCAACCCCAAAACGGAATCAGGTATGGGTGGATGTGATGAAGGCTGGTGCAAAGAGTGACTTCATCATCTCCCCCAACTTGCTGCCCTGCTTTATCCATTCTTTCACTTCCAAACGCTCTGGCTGCTTTCTTAGCTAGTGTCTTGCCTCTGATGTATGCAACAGCTTTGTGGTGGGAGAGCTGCATTTTTAGAAGCTGGCTCTTGCAGGTGCCAAACGCAGAGGTCTGCCCAAGAGTCAAGCCGTGTGAGTGGCATCCATGATGTGGAAGACTGAAGTGTGCTGGACACCCCAGCTGGGTCAGGGATTCATCCACTGCAATGGGGCCACTAGTTTGTTCCAAGCTCCCCCCCCCCCCCGCCACTTCCCGGTGAAGCTGCCTTTGGTCACAGTTGCGAAAGGCAGAGAGAGAGAGACTGTGTGCGAAACCAGGGAGGTGTGTCCAGTGAGCCTGGAGCTTCTCGCTCGTCCTGGGCTCCCCAGGAGAGTGGCACCTCGCTGCCCCACCACCCTGAGCCCACCCTTCTGAGCGACCTTGTTGCCCGCCACAGGCACATTCAGCTGGAGGAGATCCTTGTCTTGGCCCAGCAGTTCCATGAGACGTCGGAGCCCATTGCTGACTGGTTGTCGATGATGGAGAAGAAGCTGACCAACTCCGAGCCAACAGGAACACAGACAGCCAAAGTCCAGCAGCAGATTGCCCGGCACAAGGTTGGCTGGCAGTTGCCCAATGCAGCCAGGAAAGGCGGGCGTGGAGGGGTGGCAGTGCTGGGCCAGCATTGATATTCTGGCCATGGGATACGGTGCCTAAGCAAAAACCTGAGGTGTGTGCGAGAGGGAAAGAGAGAAGAGGGCATGCTGATGGAAGATGCTTTCTAGTCCAGTTGGGTGGGTTGGAATTCAGGATGTGGAGGTCCGAATCCGAAGCTTCCAGATTGGGCAGGAGTCCTCTGTAGCATAGCTGTGTCCAAGTGACCGCCTCCGACGGTGCAGGCCTACACAGTGGACCATGACACCCCTCGTTTGCAGCCAGCAGGGAATCGGCCATGCCGGCTGGTCCAACACTTCTGGAGGGCGTGGGGTTGGGGAGGGGGCTGTCTCAGACTGCAGCCTTCCAGGGTTTGGCCACAGAGTGATGTCAGAGCTGTCAGCCACTAGCCGGGGGGGGGGGGAGTCATGGGCCCCACTCAGCAATCCCTGGGTAGGCTGGACCCTGGCTCAAATGGGGAGCAGAGAAGGGGTCCCTCCCCTTCTAACGCAGCAGCTCTTGTCCCTGAGCTGTGTCCGAAGCGTCAGCTGTGATTCCCGTCTGTGAGCTGCCCTGGCCGCCTGAGCCGGGCACGAGACGCATCCACCTCTCTGTTTGTTTTTTTCATTATTAAACCATTTATTTGATTCGTGCTATTGCCCTTATGTGGGCAGGTTTTATCTTTGTGTTTGTATGCTGTGTAGCCATTCAGGTTGTTCTCATTCAGCCATTCTCATTCTTCAGGTTGTTTTAAATTTGTTTTCATCCCTTTGTGTTGGTTCCATTTTCAGTCACACATTTTTGTTTGTTTGTACCCCCCTCCTTTTTCTTTAACATTGTTCCGGACTTTCAGGCTCTGGAGGAAGAGGTAGAGGGTCACGCTGCAGCGATGGCTCGGGTGGTCAGCACTGGGCAGTCTCTGGCCTGCCTGAGCTGCCCTGCCGAGCGGGCCTTGCTGAGCGAGAAGCTAGACCTCCTTGAGGCCCGGTATGCAGAGCTTTGTGACAAGTGTGGCAGGAAGGCGTCCCTTCTCGATCAGGCTTTGTCAAATGCCCGGCTCTTTGGGGAGGACGAGGTGGAGGTGCTTAACTGGCTGGCCGAGGTTGAGGACAAGCTCGGCTCGGTGTCCGTCAAGGATTACAAGCAGGAAGTCCTGCAGAGGCAGCATGCAGAGCAGCTGGTACTGTGACCCTCTCCTATTCCATGTCGCACCGTTATTATTTGCTTTCCTGTCTTTCTGTTTCTTTCCAACATTCCACTTCGGGGTTGCTTTCAACCAGAGAGCCCCACGTGCTTCCCCGTTCGCAGTCCTGACCAGCGCTTCGTGCGGCGGAGCAGTTTTCCTTGCCTCCATTTGCGGGTGGGGGGGAGACTTTTGCCTAGGGAGCGTCCTGGGCAGCGCCTTCCCCAGGCACCTTGGCTGCCTGCTGGATGGGCTGGAGCGTCTCTCGGGGAGTTCGGTGAGCGAGTGGCGCCAGGGCCTTTGAACAGAAGTGTGCCGGGCTTGCGCTGGGCTGTTGCGTGGTGCCCCGCCTGGTAGGAAGGGCCTGTTTAGACAGGCCCTGCCCTGCCCTGCCCTGCCGGCGCCACCCAAGCGGGGACGTGGCGGCACACCTCCGTGCTTCTGCAGGGAAGTGCTCATGGCGGCCCTTCCTCAGAGGTGGGGCTGTAACTCAGCGTAGAAGGGCAGCTGCATTGCGCCCCGGGGCCTTGAGTGTGGGCAGGCGCCCAGTGAAGGAAGGCCCTTCCCTGCCCCAGAAACCAGGCAAGCCTCTGCCTGGTGCTCTGGCTCAGGAGGCAGCGGCTGAGCGGTCCCCGAAAGGAGGCGAGGCTGCTCCCTGCCGGTGTCTGTGGATGCCATCTGCCCTGTGCAGCAGCTCTCGTTGCTGCCGTGGGAGCTTTCGTGGCATGCAGGAAATGGGCGTTCTGGAGGAGCCACGTTGCCCTTGACTGGCAGTGGGGCCCTTGCCGAGCCCTTGGCTGCGCCCATGACCCCATGAGGACCTTTGGAGCGGGGCCAGTTTGGGCTCTTCCGCCCCGGCTTCCTCCCTCGGTGCGTTGATTAGGTGTGAGGGAGCCAAGGTCCACTCCACTGGGGGCGCCGTTCCTTTATCCCATAGCAAAGGGGCTGCATCCTCTTCATGCTAGAATAAAATGGCAGGCCAAGTGAAGACATGTCTCCCCACGGTGGGTGCTGGGGGACTGGTCTGGCAGCTCTGGCTGCGTGTGCTGCTCTCCCCGCTCTGCTCCAATCCGCTCGACATGCGGCCTTCAGATCCTGACGCGGGGCTGCGCCGAGTCCCTGCCTTGTGTGAGGAGGCTGCCCAGTCATACCACTGGCTGCTGCCAGCAGGTTTGCTGCTGGGCCGGGTTTCCGCACAGCCCATGGCTGCTGCTCCCCGCTGTTGCCGTGAATGCGCCTGAAGGGGTCACATCCGGTGACTCGCATGTCCTTCCCCAGGCCTGGACCTCATAAGGCAAGACAGCCCGATCTGCCGGGGCTGCGCAGGCCCATTCCTGCCTTCCAGCCTGCACTGCAACCAGCCCCAGGGGACTCTCTTTCTCTGCCAAGGAGTAGCCCAGGCCAGGACTCTGGAAGGCTTCCGGGCATCCTCGCCCTACTAGAAACCCCTTTCCAGCAGCTGCCGCGGGCACGTTTCCTGCACTGGCTGCCCAGGGCCTGTGAGTGGTCCCCATCCCAAGGGCTGCCCAGGCCCCCGCGAGTGCTGCCTGTGCAGGCTCGGCTGGTCCATTCAGAGCAGGACCCGGCCTGTGGTCCCCATGGAGGCATGAGCACCTCCAGGGGCTCTTACCCTTGGCTGTTCTTCCTGCCCAGGCTCTGAATGATGAGATCGTGACCCGCAAGAAGAACGTGGACCAGGCTATTAAGAATGGGCAGGCCCTGCTGAAACAAACCACAGGTAAGGCAAGGGAGGCTGCTGGGCTTCTGCTCTTTCCCGGTGTCTCCAGCCCCCTTCAAAGGTCAGCTCTGGATGCCCAGAAACTGTGTATGCATCCAGGCAGGCAGTGGCAGCGGCAGCTCCGCCATCTCCCCCTCTCTCACCTGCTCGCACACACCATTTTCTCTGGCTTCAAACAGTGGAGCTGAACTTGAGATGGAAGCAAGGTGCTTGCAGTCCAGTGTTTGAAAAGGGTCCCTTTGTTAAACCAGACAGCAGGGCTTCTTCCAGCTAAACCATGGTTGATCTGCTGCAGGGGAGGAGGTGCTGCTGATCCAGGAGAAGCTAGATGGCATCAAGACCCGCTACGCGGACATCACCGCTGCCAGCTCCAAGGCCCTGCGGACACTGGAGCAGGCCCGTCAGCTGGCCAGCAAGTTCCAGTCTGCACACGAGGAGCTGGCCGGGTGGATGACGCAGGTCGAAGAGGAGCTGGTGTCTGGAGGAGGCCATTCTCCCTCTGGAGAGCAGATCCCTCAGTTCCAGCAGAGGCAGAAGGTACGGAGCCATTCTGCTCTCAAGCAAGGTGAAATGCCACAGTGGCCGTTCCCAGAAGAGGGGGTGTTACATAGTTCAGCAGCTGTCCCGTTTCCAGTAGAGTTTTGAAGCACTGCTCTCAGGGCTGCAGGCAGGGGGCTGCCTCCGTCCCCCGTTGCCTCGCTTTGCTCTTCCTTCTGGTTGCTGGTGGTCCTGATTCTAGCAGGAAATGCAGCTCTTCCCTTCTTCCTGTAGTCGTTAGAGCAATCCTGAAGGCAGCACGTGGGTCCTTGGCCTCGCCACACCCAGTGGCTGTGGGCCCGCCCCTGGCTAAAGCCCAGGGCTCATCTAGTGCAGCCTGTTCACAGTCACGGGGTGGGCATTTTTTCCAGGAGCTGAAGAAAGAGGTGATGGAACACAGGCTTGTTCTGGACACGGTGAACGAAGTGAGCCGGGCCCTCCTGGAGCTGGTGCCTTGGCGCGCCCGGGAAGGGCTGGATAAGCTCGTCTCCGATACCAATGAGCGCTACAAGTCTATCAGCGACACCATCAGGCAAAGGGTGGAAGAAATTGATGCGGCAATACAACGGTCACAAAAGGTAGGGCTCACGGGCTGTTCTTGGTGAGCCTTGTTTCTTCTCTTGTGAGAACTTTGCTTGGAGAGGTTGCAGCGCAAAGACAGCCTATTGGGATGAAATAGGAAGTCCCGGGCAAGCCAGGGGGCCTGGGGGTGAGTAAGGGGACTCCGGTTCCAAGTCCCAAAGCCTCTGAAACCTTCATAAGGGCTCCAAGGAATGTTCTGTTCCTGCACAGGACAGGTGGCTCTGGATTTCCAGCTCCAAGAAACTGAATGCTTTGCTCACCCGCTGCTCAAAGGCAGCTACTTAACTGAGCAGGTGGACCTCTGGCCCTACCGTTTGGGAAGCTCGTGGGCAAGCCAGACTGTGGTTATGTGCCTAAGGGGAACTGGAGCGCTGCTTACTCTTTTTCCAAGCTCATCCCGACTCGCTCGCTGCAGTGAGCCAGGCAGTTCTGCAGGGAGGCCCGCTGCCCTTCAGGAAACGCCGGTGCAATCCCGTGGGCCACCCTGCTGCAGCGGCACCAATGCCGGTTTTTCCCAGTGGCATTCGCTAACTGCATGGCGCTCTCCTTTCTTTCCTGGCGCTAGTATGAGCAAGCAGCCGATGCAGAGCTTGCCTGGGTGGCCGAGACAAAACGGAAACTGATGGCGCTTGGTCCTGTTCGCCTGGAGCAAGACCAAACCACGGCACAGCTGCAGGTCCAAAAGGTATGTGGGGCACAGCGCTTTCTGGGTGGCACGCTTGAGGGGGAGCCGGGTGGGGAAGCCGGGTGGGCCGCCTGGAGTCGCCAGAGCCGGACTCCCGTTGAACCAAGCTGCACTTTGAACTCTGGCACCTGGGAAGGGCCGATGGTGGTCCTAACGGAGGGTGGCACAGGAACCTGGCAGCGTTCTGGGAACCTGGTAGGAGGGCTGGACGCTTCCAGAGCAGAGCGGCCATGGCGCTAGCGAGGGCTGGTGAGAGGTGGTCGTGCCTGGAGTTGTGCAAAGGGCTGGAGGGGCCAAAACAGAAAACATTCTTGGTTTGCAGCTTGTGCAGATGAGAAGGTGGTTGGTGTGAGTGGAACGGGAGGAATAGGTGGGCAGGGAGAGGTGACTGGGCTCCAGGCAGATAGACAATTGGGGCAATCTGCCATCACTGTAGTGGCTGTTTTTGAAGGGCAGTTTCACCTTTGTTAGCTGCTTTTGTTTTGTATTCTGCTTTCTATTTTACAGGCTTATTTATGTTGCATTTTATGTAACCTGTTCTCAAGCACCTTTGCTCAGAAATGTGAGCTGTAAGGCTTAATAATTATAGCTAATGCATGAGTCGATCTTGGCAGACTTAAAGAGGAGGGCCAGGAGCTCTTCCCAACCATCCCAGCATGCAGGGCGTATAATCAGGGCTCGCATTACAGGAAGCCAGATTCTGTCTGAGCCTCTGGGCTTCCTGACTGTTGGAACAGAGTGGCCATGGGGCTGCTTACTCTCCTGCCCTGGAGGCATTCGGGATGCGCCTGGAGGGTTGGCTGTCGGGCATTCCTGCATTGAACTGGAGGTTGGACCCATGGCCTTTTCGGCCCATTCCAGCTTTGCGGTTCTGTGATGCCATAAAGGCCTCGCTGAGCATCTTATTCAGGTGTCACTGCAGTGCAGATGAAATGCCTTCGCTTTGGCCAAGTACGAAACTGGGATGCTGTTAAGGAGCAGCTTGTGTCTGCCTCCCCCCGCACTTTTATTCTGTGTGTGCTTCCCCTTTGCTTCCTCTTGTCAACGTTTCACCTTGCAGGCTTTCTCTATTGACATAATTCGACACAAAGATTCTGTGGATGAGCTGCTCGGCCAGCGCAGTGAGATTTTTGGAACTTGTGGGGAGGAACAGAAAGCCCTGCTGCAGGTGAGTCAGTGCCCGAGTGCAAGAGAGGCCAGATCTAGGGTGGTCCAGGTGGTATGGCCACGTTCTGCCTGACGAAAACTCGCGCACATTCCTGGGCCCCCTTCATAAGCAAGCATCATGCTGTTCCTTCGCCTGGAGAAGCCGCTTTGCTGCATGTGCAGAGAATTCTGCCCTCGCAAGCAGAGCCCTCCAGAGCAGGTGGCACAGAGCAAAGCGCAGCAAATGGCGAGGCTGCGCTTCCCTTGACTTCTTCGCTGGGCCTAAAGCTTCGCTCGCCCTCCTAAGGGTCGTGCCGGCCAGATCGCCTAGCCCTGAGCGAAGCCTCGCGTTGGCCAGCAAGAGCTTTTTGGCGGGCGGAGGAGCAAGAGCGAAAGGAGAGGGCTGGAAGCAAAGACTTACGTAGGGGAAATGCGATGGCATGTATTCAGGCTTGCGAGAAAGGGCAGACGGGGAGAGGACCTGTTGCCCTCTGGCCTCCCCCACACGCTGCACCCCACTCCCCCTCCAGGAGAAGACAGAGTCGCTCCTGCGGCAGTACGAGGACGTCGGCCAGCTCAACGCAGAGCGCTACGCCCGCTTGGAGCGGGCCCAGGTCTTGGTCAGCCAGTTCTGGGAGACCTACGAGGAGCTCAGCCCGTGGCTTGAGGAGACGCAGGTGCTGATTGGGCAGCTGCCCCCCCCAGCGATTGACCACGAGCACCTGAAGCAGCAGCAGGAAGACATGAGGGTGAGGGGCCCGTGGGGGGGGGGGCAGGGAGAGCCGGCTGGCACCCAGCTGCCTGGGAGCTCCCTTGATGGGCGTGGGAAGGGTGTGGAGCATTTCTTCTGGTCCCAGACCCGGTGGCGGGGTGGGGAGTCGTGGCAACATGGGCGGATGGAGCTGCAGGCGCTGATCTGCCATCTCACGGCAATTCTTTCTAGCAACTGCGGGAGTCCATTGCAGAGCACAAGCCCCATATCGACAAGCTGCTGAAGATTGGGCCGCAGCTGAAAGAGCTGAATCCCGAAGAAGGAGAGATGGTGCAGGAGAAGTACCTCGCGGCAGAAGCCCAGTATACCCGCATCAAGGAGGAGGTTCGCCGGCGTGCTCTGGCCTTGGACGAAGCCGTCTCACAGTCTGCGCAGGTGTGTGCAACCCTCTATTAAAGAGTGGGGGGAGAGGGGTATACTGAACCCCCATCTCTTGGGAAGGCTGCAGCCTGGCCCCCCAGGGGCAGCCCTGTGGCTGTGTGAAAAGCCGTGTGGGGAGCGGGAGGCGGGGGCTGCCTCCTCTCCACACTGTGACCCAAAGAGCACCCCAACGGGACAGTAACCCTTCCGTTGCACCAGTAGCAGCCCCCCTGCTGGACTCACGGCTGCTGGGAAGCAGGGGGGCTCGATTCGTGCAGTACTGCCCGTGGGATGCTGCCCTCTGGCCAGGAGGCTGAAGCGAGATTCCCACGCAGGGCAGTTAAACCCACATTTCCTGTGGTGGGAGGAGCGGGGTCATGTGATCTCTGCAGGGAGAAATCCACGTTTTGCTGAGCAAATAATCTGTGTTAGGAATAGCAAAGGATTTTTCAGCACTTACTCAACAAGTGCCTTTTCCTTTGCATTAAGACTAAATTCTTTTTTTAAAAAAATATCTGTGCCACAGTTTTTAAAAAATGCAATTTTGAGTTTAAGCACAGAATCACAGGCATTTCTTGTCTCTGCATTTCAGCTCCTTGAAACACACGTCTTGATTGTCACTTGAAAGTTAGTTGGCAAAATATGATTAACCTTTGTTCATATTGTTAGCCCAGGTTTTGTTCTGTGTCACATCCATTTAAATTTTTTTTGAAGCGTTCACATTGGCTGCTCCCCTCTTGGTTTATGCCCATATTAACCCTGAGTTTTTCCTCCTGCGCTTCTGTCTCATCACCCCTTCCGTGGTGGAATGTGTCCTCTGTTGTCTTGTCCACGTGCCCGTCTTCCCCGCGTACTCTTCACATTTCATTGTCGCATCCCACCCTGACAGATTGCAGAGGTAAGAACCCCCCTCCCTTTCAGCCCTCCCACCCCCTGAGTTAATAAGAGGGGAACGAGCTGCCTTGCTTTTGCCCTTGGCAAAATGGTGCCTCGCACAGATCCACGGTCACTGGGAAGTATGCTTGAGGCTTCTGAGCATCCCCACATTTGGAGAGCTGAAAGGCCTTTCCAGTTCCTCCATGTGAATCGTTCTGGAAGTGCAGCAGGAAGTAACCAGATGGCCCAGTTCAGGGAGGCCCGTGCTGTCCTTTCCCCTTTTGGCAGGGAGGCAGAAATCTTGCAGACTTTGTGTCCACTGTGGGTATAAATCTTGTTGGGGAAATGAAGCTTACGAAAGGAGAGCGGTTGGAAGTGCTGCTCTTCGCGTGGCCTGTCCGTGGCTGTTTCGGTGGAATCCGAGAAGGCCGGTCTGCAACGTTCAGGGGCTCCCCCCATCCTCCCAGAGGAGGTGCACGGGCTGTTCTCCCCATGCCCTCCATGTTGCCTTCCCTGAGCTCCTGGGGGCCACCTTTCCGTGAACGTCCGTTGAAGACCAAGTGGTCCAGTCGCTGCTCAGGGCCCAAAGAATTGCTCTTGCCTCCCCTGAAAGGGCTGGGCTTCCTGGTCCACCAGCAGCTGTTTTCCGTGCCATGTGGCACATTGCTTGTGGAGAGTGCTTGTGGGCACGTTCACCTGGGGCTTGTGGAAGGGGAAGGAGAGGGCCACTGGGAGTGGGGGCAAGAGGAAAGGCCCCGCTGGGTGCCCACAGGCCCACAATCACACCTGAAGCGTCTCTTTAGGGCTTTAGTTCCCATAGTGTGGCATTCTCGTTGTTGAGGTGCCCCTTGCTGTCTTCAGGACAATTTTAGCTGCAAGATGTAGCCATTAGCGGAGGCTGTGCGGCTCTCGTTGCGGAGGGCCGCAGCATCTCTCCATCTGCCATGGGGCAGAACCACGCCGGGGCTCGGCTCAGCAGCACCTGAGGTGCAGTTGCATTTTGGTTCGCCTCCGTTCACTCCCTGATCCGGCCCCGCAGCCCTGCCAGCCCCCACCCAGGAGCACTTCCACACTGCGCTTTCTGGCGTCTGGTGGCATTTTGGAGCAGTAAGTCCAGGCACCCCATTTATTTTATTTATTTATTTTTATTTAGAAAATTTCTATGCCGCCCCATTCACCGAAGCCTCGGGGTGACTCACAAATATATCAATTAAAATATTATACAGTAAAAATATAAAACAGGTTAACAATATAAAATAAGTCGCCCTGGCCGAAGAATAAAATAAATAAATAGTATTAACGGTTAAAATGACGTTTGAATAAAAAGGTTTATCTGCTCAGTACGTTCCTTAGCGGCCCTCAAGACCTGCTCTTCCCAAGGTAGCTCATAATCTAAATAGTGCAACTCAGTACCGAGTCATAAATGTAACTGACATTTGAACAGTTTGAAAGTAAGCCAGTTAAAATGCCATTTCAGATACGAGAGCAGTAAACAGTCTGAAACATTTTCAGTTAAAAGGCGGAGAACAAGTATGTGGTGAGGCCCTGCTTGAAAGCAGGCCAGGGAGGCCCAGCCAGCAGCCCTGCGGGGCCAATTCCATAGGACTCCCCCCCCCCCCCCCCGGGAAGACCTTCTCCTGGTCTGTGGCCCCCACCTTACTGAATACAGTGGTGGGCCACGGAAGAGGGCCCTGCAGGCGGCCCTAAAGCGCAGCCAGGATCTGTGCTGCTTGGAACACCAAGGCTCAGCATCAGTACTTTGGAGATTGTCCTCATCGTCGTCGTCGTCACCATCATCCCGGTGCTTTTACATCCTGCCTTTTCGCTCCTGGGAGGGACCCAGGGCAGCTTGCATAGTTCTCCTGCACCCCCCTTTCATCACAACAGCAGCCCCGTGCGATGGGTTCGCCTGAGAAGGAGTGGCTGGCCCGAGTCCCTCAGCGACCGAGTGAGGACTGGAACCTGGAGCTTCCCAGCCCCCAGTCCACCCCCTCACCAGCACACCTCCCGGTGCGGGCATGGTGTAACGCGTTCTGGCCACCCTCGCCCAGCGAATCCCGAGCGCTTGCATTCTGTGCCAGCTGCAGCACTGGGCCGTCTTCACGCACAGCCCTGGTGGAGCATGGCGTAGCCGCCAGGGCCGGTGCAGCCTGAGCCCACGCAGCTGCGGTGTGGTGCCGCTTGTGCGACCCTGAAGAAGAGGGGTGAGCAGCAGCCCCGGGCCTAGGGGTGTGCGCGTTGGAGCGGGAGAGCAGACACGGTGCTGGAGAACTGGGTCCTTAGCGCCTCTCCCTCCCGTTTAGTTCCACGACAAGATTGAGCCCATGCTGGAGACGCTGGAGAACCTCTCCTCCCGGCTGCGAGTGCCCCCGCTGATCCCAGCTGAGGTCGAAAAGATCCGGGAATGCATCAGTGACAACAAGAATGCCACCGTGGAGCTGGAGAAGCTGCAGCCGTCCTTCGGAGCTCTGAAGCGCCGCGGGGAAGAGCTGATCGAGCGATCGCAAGGAGCAGAGAAGGACCCGGCCGCCAAAGGTAGCGTCGTCTTGCACATGTGCGCCTTTTTTCATGCCATGCATGTGCTTGTCGTTCACACGCCCTGTGGCGACAGAAGCATTTTGCACCCTGAGATGGAACCTCTTTTCTGAGTTTGTGGCGCTTCTCATTCTCCTCCCTCCCTTTCAGAAATTCAAGATAAATTAAATCAGATGGTGTTCTTCTGGGAAGACATCAAAACTCGGGCTGAAGAACGTGAAATCAAATTCCTTGACGTCTTAGAACTGGCGGAGAAATTCTGGTATGACATGGCTGCCCTCCTGACCACCATCCGGGACACGCAGGACATTGTGCACGACCTCGAGAGTCCTGGGATCGACCCGTCCATCATCAAGCAGCAGGTGGAGGCTGCGGAGGTGAGAGTGGCAGACGCTGGGCCACGCTGGGAGTGGGCACGGGGGGCTGCCCAGGCGGTGCGCCCGCAGGACTCATTGCCGCGGCGGGTGTGGGGGGCCCTTGCAGGCATGGCTCGCCCAGAGGAGGGCCCCTTTTCCCTCACAGAGCCTTCCCCCACCCGTCTGCCGTGCTTTCTAATAGCATCAGCTTCAAAAGATGTCTCTTCTACGCAATGGAAAACAAGACAAACTCTCCATTGTGAAAACCAACCCGGCACGTGTGCACCCTTTGGCCATTTCCAGTGGTTCTGCAAACACTCTCCGTGCTTGTGGCAGCTCTGTTGCACGCTTCTCTGGCAAGGCACGCAAGCTGCGGCCTGAGCGTCACCTCCCTTCCTGGGGGCGCCGGCCTCTGACCGGAAGTGCCGCTCTAGGAGCCGGGGCTGCTTGTGGGTGTGCTCTGTGAGCTGCCTGCCGCTCTGGCTTGAGCCCCTGCCCGCCGCTCTGGCTTTCCTGCAGACCATCAAGGAAGAGACAGACAGTCTGCACGAAGAACTGGAGTTCATCCGGCTTCTCGGCACCGACCTCATCTTTGCTTGCGGAGAGACAGAGAAGCCAGAAGTGAAGAAGAGCATCGATGAGGTGGGTCGGCCTGCCGAGCCGCACCTGCGCCCGGCCTGTGACGCACTCGTGTGAGCCGAGTGCACGGAAGGCGGGGAATCCCCAGGGCGGCCCCTGCTGCCCTTGCCTGCCCGGTGGTCCGCCCTGCCTGCACTGCGGGAGGCGGGCAGGCATCCGGGCTCCCTCCAGGACAGAAATGCCCATGGGGAGGCACCCGAATCGCAGCCACGGGGTGCCGGGCCGGGCAGGCGGTCCACAGCGCTGCTCCGGGGGAGCACCAGTCCGTGGCTGGAGCAGGAGCGGCCCTGGGCTCCAGCCCAAGCCCCCCCCGTCCTGCCTTGCCGAAGGCGCGGCCCCGGGCCCCCAGGCTGAGGGCGCCCCTTGCCATTGCAGATGAATAGTGCCTGGGAAACTCTGAATAAGACCTGGAAGGAGCGGCTGGAGCGGCTGGAGGAGGCCATGCGGTCGGCGGTGCAGTACCAGGATACCCTGCAGGTGACGGGAGGCAGCCACAGCGGGCCAGAACAGGGTGGGGGCTGCAGGGGGGTGGTTTCGGGCTCCTCTGGGGAGCGTCCAGCTGAGCGCTGCAGAGGTGGTGGAAGCAGAGGGGGAACAGCTCGACCGGGGGCTGCCGAGGCACGGCGAGACCACGGCAGCGGGAGAAGGGGCTGTGCCTCCGGGCAGCTCCAAGCCCTGCCCGCATCCCCCGCTCGGGGCGCCCGGAGGGGATGCGCGGCGCATGCCAAGGCGCTTACCTGGTTTCTCCCGTCGGGCACAGGCCATGTTCGACTGGCTGGACAACACGGTGATCAGGCTGTGCAGCATGCCTCCCGTGGGCACGGACCTCAGCACTGTCAAGCAGCAGCTGGACGAGATGAAGGTGCGCCCCCCCCCCCCCGGCGGGGCCCCATGCATGGGGCGAGGGCAGCACACCTGCAGGCAGACTGGGCAGCCCCCTGCTTTCTCCCCCTCAGGAGTTCAAAATGGAGGTGTACCAGCAGCAGATTGAGATGGAGAAGCTGAATCATCAGGGTGAGCTGATGCTGAAGAAGGCCACTGACGAGACGGACAGAGCCATCGTGCAGGAGCCACTGACAGAGCTGAAGCACCTCTGGGAGAACCTCAGCGACAAAATAGCCCACCGGCAGGTGCGTACGCCAAGGGCTGGACAGGTGGCAGGGATGCCCTGAAATTGTGTAAATCTCAGGTGCCCATTACCTTGCAGAACGCTGAGCCCTGTTCCTGCCAGGCACGGATCTGCTACTTCTAAGGCAGCCTTTCCTGAAGGGCCCTGCCCTCAGCTGGAGAGGTCCCGGCTGGCGTGTGCCTGTGCGGATCAGGGCCCTTTCCAGCATACACACCCCAGCTAGGCAGCCCCCTCCCTTGGGAGAAGGCCTTCGGTGTTTGGCCTGCATGTGCCACTCCTTCTGCCGGCTTTTCCATCCATTGCAAGAGGCGGAGAGGGGCAGCCGCCTGCATCTTGTGCCCCTGTTCACAAGGAGGGAGGCTGAGCCCCCCCCCAGATGCATCATGCTGTGGTGGAGCCTCCCCCACCCCCCAAGGGTGTGGAATGGGCTTCCACGAGAGGTCCTTGAGGCCCCACTGGTGCGGGTGTTCAAGGATAGGCTGGGCGTCCACATGGTGGGCATGTCGTGAGCGGAGCCTGCTGGAGCCGGGGTCAGACTAGATGGCCGGGAGGCCCCTTCTGACTCGCTCTGTTTCTGTGTTTCTATGAGCCCCTGCCCAGTGCTGGCCCCACAGTCACTCCTCTGTCCGCAGGGCCACACCCCACGTGGAGTGCGTTGCACTGGCTCCTAGTGCAGGAGTCAAAGTCAGGGCTGGACTCTGCATTTCCCTTCCACTGCCCGGACCTTAGTAGCCTATTATTAATGTTATTAATTTGTTTGACCTGAGAAAATTTTTGCATGATGTAAGATGGTATAAAGCTTCTTGAACTCCCCTAGCTGGAGCAGAAAGGCAAGGTAACAAGCTGAACAGACAGATGGATCCGAGTGTGCTTGGATTTTTTTGCTGACTCCTCTTATTCCCTTGCTTTCTGTTTTCACATTTCTGGCGCCTTTCAACGAACAGCACAAGCTGGAAGGCGCTCTCTTGGCCCTCGGCCAGTTCCAGCACGCGTTGGCTGAGCTGGTGGCATGGCTGACCCACACGGAGGAGCTGCTGGGGGCCCAGCGGCCCATTGGGGGTGACCCCAAGGTCATCGAGGTGGAGCTGGCGAAGCACCACGTGAGTGCAAAGCAACCGGCTCGCGGATCCCTCTGCAGGCAGTCCCGCTTGGCGGCAGAATGCCGGCCTCGCTGCGCCCCTTCCCGGCCTCTCCGTTTGCACCGCTCGGAAGGGTCTGTGCCCTGCAGGCCTAACAGGGCGAGGCTGGTCCGGGAAGGCACCCTGCTGCCCGCAGATTCTGGCCTGACCCCAGGCTGGGCAGCCTGAGATCGCCTTTGGCTGCCAGCCGCCTGGAGAGCCGGGCCTTCAGTGGCACCGCACTCCGTCCCTGATCCGTCGAGCGGAAACGCTGCCCCAGGGATCCCCGCCTCTCCCTGCTGTGCCGTGGCAGCCGGGCCGACCCGGCTTGACAGTGCTGCCTGGGAGCATCATGGAAGCGGCACGGATGGGTTAGCCCACCTGTGGCAGGGCTTGCGTGGGCCAGGGTGCCCTCTGGGACCCTTCCTAGGGCGTGCCACCGACCCTTCCCGAGCAGCGGCTGCGGGCCTGCCCGGATGGCATCCCCTCATGCTCCACTTTGGTTCTGCACCCGAAGCCAGCACGAGGCAGATGCATTGGCCGCCCCAAAGCCCTCCCCGCCATCCAGTAAATGCCACGGAGAGTGCGGGAGACCTGAAGCCTGACCTGCCCCTTTGCTCCCTTCCCAACGCCCTGCCAGGTGCTGAAAAATGACGTGCTGGCCCACCAAGCCACAGTGGAAACCGTGAACAAAGCCGGCAACGACCTCCTGGAGTCCAGCGCTGGGGATGATGCGAGCAGCCTCCGGAAACGGCTGGAGATGATGAATTCGTGTTGGGAGTCCGTGCTGCAGAAGACGGAGGAGCGGGAGCAGCAGCTGCAGATGACCCTTCAGCAGGTAGGTGCCGCAGTTCCCGCGCGGGTGCCTCCCTCCCTCCCTCCCTCCCAGCTCTGGAAGCTGCTTGCTTCCGTATGTTCTGGTCAACCCAGGTGGTTCTTCCCGGGACGCTCTCAGCTGCTGCGGCTCCTCCAGAGCTCGCTCTTCCCAGGGACTTCGCTCCCTGTCTTCCAGAAGAGCAGCAAAGCCCTTGTGGTTCTTGTGGCCAAGGCAAAGCTGGAGAAGGGCCCCTGGAAGGGCCTGGCTTGGATGGTGTACTTTTGCTTGAGGGGTGTGCGTGTGTTTGTTTGCATGACCACTTCCAAACAGGGCTGTTTGTTCTTCTGATTCTGAGATCCTGGTACCTCACTCGGAGGCATCGGGAAGGATGGGGCTGCCGTTTTAGAAATCCAGTCTATGAATGGCTGCTCTGTGCACCGCTTGGCCTCCCATGCGTTTTGCATGCCTTTCCAGGCTCAGGGCTTCCATGGTGAAATAGAAGACTTCCTTCTTTGGCTTACAAGGATGGAGAACCAGCTGTCGGCCTCCAAGCCGACAGGTGGGCTGCCAGAAACTGCTCGCGAGCAACTGAATGCCCATATGGTAAGTTGTGGCCATTCAATCAATCCCCAGGTTAACCAGGCAAGCTGCCCCTTAACGTAGTAGGAGAAGTCACTCTGTGGACGTGGGACATCAGAGATGCAGAAGGGAAAGCTTGCAGGAAAAAAGATGGGGCAGAAGGCTGGGTGAGCCACAGTTTGCCCTGCAGTGCATTGTGGGAGCCCGCTTGAGGTCACGTTGGCCATGGCAGCACCTGCGGTCGGCAGTCCAGGGCCACTTCACACGATGAGGGCTGCACAAGGGTCTGGTGAGGGAGAAAGATGCGTGCATTTGGCAGGGGAAAGTGTCCGTACGTAGTGGTGCCTCGGCTCGCGAACGCCTGGGGTCATGACCCAATCGGGTCACGAACAAAAATTTCATGACAATTTTGACTTGGGTCACGAACTCCGCATTGGGTGGCGACCAAGATCGTGGCCACCCCCCCCCCCGCCCGAGTGGGGAGATGGCCACAATCGCAGTTGCGTTCGTGCAGGGAAGGCATGCGTGATCACGGGCGCGCTCCTGCAGGAACGACGGGCACGGAACAGCACAGCCGTGATCACGCACGTCTTCCCTGCACGAGCGCAACTGTGACCATGGCTATCCCCCCACTCGGGGGGCCGGGGGAGATGACCGAGATTGTGCCTGTCCTTCCTGCAGGAGTGTGCCCGTGCCAGGATTTCTTTGAGAAACACCACCCCAGCATAACTTTGACAAACAGTGTTGAATCTGACGAAGGATAAGGTGGTCTCATTTCCAGAGGGTTGTGCAGCGCAGGAAAAAACAAGTGACTGTAGGCAGGTTTTTCATCAAAATTGACCCTGCAGCTGTGGAGGGGGACTCTCCCTCAAAACAGTAACCTCCCCCCCCACCCCCGCCTAGGTTAGTGTTCTCCACCGCGCTGCACAATACTTCGTTACTTTGCTGTTCTTTGTCACTTGGTTTCAAATTTTTCTGATTTTTAAAAAAACAGTTACAGAACGGAATAACCTTATTCACATTGAATCTTATGGGGAAATTTGACTTGGGTCACAACCAATTTGGGTCACAAGCAGAGTTGTGGAATGGATTAAGTTCGTGAGCCAAGGTACCACCGTATCTGAGAATGTAAAAGCCCAGAAACGAAACGTTTGGGGGAAGCGTGGGGGAAAGCGCTTTTCCTCTTCAAATATTTCTCTGTTTCTTCTCATCTCTGCTTATATACACTTTAAGATAGGAAGACTCTGGGAAGCGCAACTGGCAGAAAGTTCCCGGAGCCGGGCTCAGGTGGCAAGAGGCGCAGGCCCCCTGGCAAGGCAGGCCCTGCGCGGTGCCCCTCATGCCCTCACCCGTGTCTTGCAGGAGCTCTATGCCCAGTTCAAAGCCAGGGAGGAGGCCTATGGCCAGCTGCTGGCGAAGGGGAGGCTGATGCTTCTGAGCCGAGACGACTCTGGATCTGGGTCAAAAACAGAGCAAAGCGTGGCTCTTCTGGAGCAGAAGTGGGGCCTCGTCAGCACGAAGATGGAGGAGCGAAAGGTAGTGTGTGGGGCGAGTGCCAACCAGCACGTTACGATGCTGGTGCAGACCAGCCCGGGGGGGGGGGGGCATTTGACTTCCCTCGCCAGGCGGGAGGCGCCGGGGTCAGTGGTGGGCATGCCCAGGTGCGCCTGCTCCCGGGAGGAGCGCCCGTGCCTTCTGGCACTCCGATTTCAGAGGGTCACAGTTGGAGCCGGAGTGGCACTAAGGGAAAGGGCAGTGGGTGGCGTGGCAGGGTGTGTCACAGGTTGAGGGAAGGGGTGGGGACTGGCTGACCCGGAGCAGAAATGGGACGCAGGCTCGTCCGAGTCCCGCCTCGGAAAGGGGGAGGAGCCTCTGCGGAGGGCCCGCTCCCTCGCCCAAGCAGCCAGAGCCGCCCTCCCTCGGCCTGGGGCAGAGGCTCCCGGCCGTGGCACAGGGCTGCTGGGCACTGCCTCCCTGGGCAGAGGGATGCTTTGCCTGGGAGCCCCCGCACGGAGCAGGGGGCTGGGCCCTCCAGCCCCTCCCAGCTCAGCTCGTCTGCTTCCACATTGCCCCGCAGGCAGAGCCACCTTCCGGCTTGGCAGCAGCAGAAGCCCAAGCCCCGCTGGTGGAGGGGGGGGCGCGGTGGCAGGCGTGGGTCCTCCCCGAGGGCCCGGCAGCCCCCACGGAAGCAGGCGTGCCGCCCCAGAGGCCCGGGCGTGCATTCAGCTGGGGGGCCAGCGGGCGTGGGCTCCGTGGCAGGGTGGCAGGCATCCAGGCACGCTGCAGGCAGAGGAGTTGCCTGGCGTGTGGAAGCACACGGCGGGGTCTGGCCAAGGTGTCTTGCTGCTCTGCCTGCGGGTTGGCAGCGTCTCCATCCGATCCGTCCGAAGGAGGAGCAGCTGCTGCCGCCCAGCATGAGGAGGCCGGCCGGCCGGCCGGCAGTGCAGCTGGCCTATCCAGGTTGCTGAAGTCAGTGGGAAGGTCCTTGCCTCACTGAACAAAGACAGCTCCGTGTTTCCAGCCTTGGGCGCCCTTGATAACTTTTCTAGTCAGAACATTTGGCAGAAGGATGTAGACGGTGTGGGGAGGGCACTGAATGCCCAGTCACAAAGTGACGTGCAAACCCCTTCGTGCTGTTGCTTCGTGCTGGTGAATGCACGCCTGGCTCCCCGTGAGAGAGGAGATCCTAGGCATGCACACACATCCACTCGCGTACCCCAGTCGGCTGTAGAGAGTTATTTAGAGGAAAAACGTGCATGTGTGTCCATTAGGATTTCAGGCCTCAAATGCAGAGTTTGTGGCCGTGACTTGGCCAGACTTTGAGCCTGCTGCCCGTTCCCATCACATGAGGCCACTTAATGGCAGTCTGTGGAGGGCAACCAAGCTACTTCGGGGTCCTTGTCAGAAAGGAGAAGAGCCAGGCTTTAAGTAGGCCAGTCCAGACATTCCACGGCTGAAGGCCTGGATTTGTCACACACATCTGTGCGGAGGCACCTTTACAAGTGGGTGCAGCTAGGCCAGGCCGCAGCAGCGAATCTGCCGCTTTCCAGAGTGAGCCTGAATGGCACACGTTTCCAAACCCGTGCTGCTTTTTTCACTTTTGCATCACACTTTTACGGATGGATGATGGCAGGGCCCTTGCTGAAGGGAGAAGCTTGTTTTGAGGGCTTTGCTTTTCATCCAGCTGCCTCAAAATTCTGTTCTCCGCAAACTACAAGGGTCAGTCAGCAATTCTGTGCATGTACAATGGACAGTTTCATTCCCCCACGCCCCCCCCCATTGTTTTTTGTTCACGGAAAAACTGGCTCCAGAAGGGCTGGGACAGGGTGAATTCCCCACTGAAAGAGTCACCTGTTAATACCCAAGTCATGTTCTTTGCCTGAATGGAGAATGCCCAGTCTGGAGAAAGGGTCACATTCACTCAACAATAACCATCGTTGTCTGAGAAGCCAAAAACCGTGAGCTTTGGCGAGTCTTTCTTTCTTTCAGCCTTTCTTTCTCCCTCCTCTGCTTTCTTCCCCTCGTTTAAAATTCAGTCCAAGTTGGAAGAGGCGCTCAGCTTGGCAGCCGAGTTCCAGAATTCCCTGCAGGACTTCATCAACTGGCTCACCCTTGCCGAGCAGGGCCTGAACGTGGCCCCTCAGCCCAGCCTCATCCTCAGCACGGTGCTCGCACAGATCGAGGACCACAAGGTAAGGGCAGCCCACACCCTGTGCCCTCCCCCGCGTGAGCGAGCGAGGGGGCAGGTCACCTGGCTTGTGCACTGGAGCCGGGGAAGGTTGCTTAAATATGCGAAGTGTGTCTCTGGCAATGCAGGTTTATAGTTTTCACAAGGACTTCGCATCCGATTGTCAAAATAGCAGCTGCGTAATGTACACAGCGCCTTCTGCCCGCACAGAGCAGGGCTATCTCTTCTTCAGCACAAACGTGTGTGCAAGCGCACACCCCGTACACAGTCCCGGTCCAGCCATGGGCCTCTTGCCGTACCCCTTAGTGTGCAGGAGTGCATTCCTGGCACAGCAGCCCTGTGAAGTGGGCTGGGACTACTCTCTTGCAGCACAGCGGGAAGCGGGAGACTGCGTGCACGGCCACCTGTGACGGCGGAGGGGCTTCCCTGTGGCCCTCTTGCCGCTGAAGCAGTCGGGTGCTCACTTTCTTAGTGCACCCCGGGGTGCCCCAGCCCTCCCATTAAAAACACTGCAGGTGCAAAGGAGTCTCCAAATGTTCAGGTTCAGGACCCATCTCTGACTTGTGCTGCGTCTTTCGGGCAGTTACTTGCCTGCCGCCACGGCCCCCATTTTGTGGTGGTGCTCAGGACAGCGCCTCCAATTGGTAGATGTGCCCACAGCCCCAAAGTATCAGCTGCCCCACCCTGCAAAAACTGCACCTCTTTTCTCTGCGCTCCGTGGCATCTGAGAAACTGCAAGGAGCTACCGGGGCTTCTCCTTTCCCATCCCAGGTATTTGCTAATGAAGTGAATGCCCACCGGGACCAGATTATTGGCCTGGACCAAAGCGGGAGCCAGCTGAAATTCCTCAGCCAGAAGCAGGACGTGGTCCTGATAAAGAACCTCCTGCTCAGCGTGCAGTCCCGCTGGGAGAAGGTGGTCCAGAGGTCGGTGGAGAGGGGGCGGGCCCTGGATGATGCCAGGAAGCGAGCAAAGCAGGTAAGAGCCTGTCATTGGAGGGAAGTGCCACCTGGGGGCTGCTCAGCAGGAGCAAGGAAGCCAACCCAAGAGCACAGAGACGTTGGGTTCCCACTGGCTTCCCTTGGGGACGGGGCAGGGAGCGTTTCAGAAAACAGGCGGTCAAACTGTAAGCACACCTTGTGTCCTCCTTTATCACTGTAGTTCCATGAAGCTTGGAAAAAGTTGGTTGACTGGTTGGAAGACGCTGAAAATCATCTGGATTCTGAGCTGGAAATTTCCAATGATCCTGACAAGATCAAACTGCAGCTCTCAAAACACAAGGTTGGGGTTCAGTCGCGAAGCCCAGTGGCTGCTGGGGTGGGGCTGGGTGTGCAAGCTGTGTTCATTCGGTGGGTCCCTCAGCGATGCCTGCGCAGGCCACTCAGCCTGATCGTGGGGACTCCTGCAAAGGGCGCGGGCCGGGCGGTGCTCGTCTGCCCTGCCAGGGAAGGCTGCATCCCAGTTTCTTGAGTTTGCACTTGAGTTTGCTCAGGAGTAGCACACGTGGCCCATGGAGCTCTGGATCAGCCCATCCAAACTGAAGGCAGCCTGTTAATGGCATGGAGTGCAACACATTTCATAGTTTTGGTCCTTCATGGAAAAGAATCTGCTAAGCAAGAGACGTTCTTTGACAAGCAGAAATGACATGCTGTGTTCTGGAAGCCCTGAATTCACTTTCCCAAGTGGTTCTTGCGTAAAATGCAACCTTTGATGCTATTTATTTTTCAGAGAAGAAGTTAGCTATTTTAGGACTGCGGTGCATTACAGTGATTCATTCAAAATCCTAGATTAAATCTCTTCTAAATCGTTTCCACTTAAATAATATTCTGCATGTAATAACAACACCCCCATGCATCTCCCCACAATTTGTAAAGTACCAAAGGCGTATTTTCTGCATTGTGTCCCAGCCTTCACAGAGACTGAGTCTTGTAGGTCGGCTAGCCCAGCAGCCCCTCTCACCCAGGACTATCTACCTACCTAGCTGGTGCTGGAGAAACAAAGGCTCCAGCAGGAGGAAGCATTTCCTAGTCCTTTTGCCAGAGATCTTTCCAAAAGTATGGACAGCTGAGATTGGGACAAGAACCTGGGGTGTGTCATCTTACGCAGGGTGAAGCAGCAGGCACCTTGCGCCTGCGCCGGGTCTGTTGGGGCCAGGAGTGTCAGGGAACCCTTCGGAACTCTCCTTGAGGTGCCACCTCTTCCAAATTAACATTTGAAGGAGTTGTGGAAAAAAGAATGAAAATTGCACATCTGTGTGCACACATGTCCTTGTGAAATCCACTGGAAAGGTGAAACATGCATTGGAAAAGCTTTCCATGTCTTGTAAGAGTTGTAACTAAACTGGCTTTGTCCCCACCATTAACGTATTTTGTTTTTTGCTGGTTAACAACCACCAGGAGTTCCAGAAAACCCTGGGTGGCAAACAGCCTGTTTATGACACCACAATCCGGACGGGAAGAGCCCTGAAAGAGAAAGCCCAGTTCCCAGATGATGCCCAAAGCCTGGACCATCTGCTTGGAGAAGTCCGGGACAAATGGGACACCGTCTGTGGCAAGTCGGTGGAAAGGTGAGCGTGGAAGTACCCCCGAGGGCTTCTCGGTCATAGAAATCGGGGTGCAGAAGCCAGAGGCCGAGTGCCTGACTACGGGTGGGGGTGGGGGTGGGGGGGTCACCTGCAGATCCAGGCAAGGCAGCTTCTGCGCTGTGGACGCCGGGGCCTTTCTGCTCGCCGGCCTCCGTTCCTGCAGCAGCCAAGCACATGTCTGTGGGGCAGCCGGCCACTGCTGGCCGGAGCCACTCCCTGGCACTGGCTCGCTCAGTGTTCCCAGTGGGGCAGTGCACTGAACCACGGAGTGTGGCAAGAAGGTGGCCATGCTGAGGCCCCTCTCCGCTTTGGCCTTCGCAGGCAGCATAAGCTGGAAGAGGCGCTGCTCTTCTCTGGCCAGTTCATGGATGCGCTGCAGGCCCTGGTGGACTGGCTGTACAAGGTGGAGCCGCAGCTGGCCGAGGACCAGCCTGTCCACGGGGACCTGGATCTGGTCATGAACTTGATGGATGCCCACAAGGTGAGAGATCGGGTGGACCTTGTGCAGAGGCGAGCCTGGCAGCGTTCGGTGGGATGTCCCGATAAGCACCCCGAGGGATGCAGCCCCCCTCGAGGTGCTCGAGGAGCCCAGAGCCCCTCGGTGCGCATGCTCTGTGTGCCCCCAACAGGTTTTCCAGAAGGAGCTCGGCAAGCGCACGGGCACCGTGCAGGTCCTCAAGCGCTCTGGGCGGGAGCTCATCGAGAGCAGCCGCGATGACACCACGTGGGTGAAGGTGCAGCTGCAGGAGCTGAGCAACCGCTGGGACACCGTCTGCAGCATGTCTGTCCTGAAGCAAACCCGGCTGGAGCAGGCCTTGAAACAGGTGGGCGGCCAGGGGCCACGGGTTCCTTGCTAGCCCTCTGGCTGGGCGCATGCCACAGCCTAGCCCGCGGGCCATCACTGGCCCCCTCCCTCTGCCGCAAGGGTCACAGGGCGGGCACTGTTGGCTCCCTTATCCCTGGGTGGCCTTTAGTGGATGCCGCCCAAGTGCCGCCCCTGACGGCAGCCATTCGCTCTCCTGTCCAAAGGTGGCCGTTCGGACACCTTGTGGGAGCTGAGAACGCTTCCCCTGGCATCCCAGGGACATGTGCGCAGTATTGAGCGGGCATGGTTGGCAAGCAGAGGCCGAGTGCAGTGGCCCGTTCTGGCCCAGCCCCACTTGGCTGGTGCAGAGGGAGGACTCATGGGTGTGGTTTCCTTCTCTCCAGGCAGAAGACTTCCGGGCCGCCGTCCACTCGCTGCTGGAGTGGCTCTCTGAAGCGGAGCAAACCCTTCGCTTCCGGGGAGCTTTGCCCGATGACGCTGAGGCCCTCCAGTCACTGATTGATATACACAAGGTGGGTGGATGTCAGAAAGAGGCCAGAAGCAAAGGGGTGTTCAGATGACTGGGCTGGATGGCGGCAGCAGCACTGATGGGCCCTGTGTGTTGCCTTCTCAGGAGTTCATGAAGAAGGTCGAGGAGAAGAGACTGGATGTGAACTCAGCAGTAGGGATGGGGGAGGTCATCCTCGCCGTGTGCCACCCGGACTGCATCACCACCATCAAGCACTGGATTACCATCATCCGTGCTCGCTTTGAAGAAGTTAGTTTGCGGACCTTTGGTGCTTGTGCAGGGCGGGCGGGCGGGTGGGTAGACCTCTGCTGCCTTCCTGGCAGGTATGCCAGCCTTCAGGGACTTTGTTGTTGCTAGTTACAAAGTCGCACCTGACCCATCGCGACCCCATGGACAACATTCCTCCAGGCCTTGCTGTCCTCCACCATCCCCAGAGTCCACTCAAATGCACGCCGACTGCTTCCGTGACTCCATCCAGCCACCTCATTCTCTGCCATCCCCTTCTGCTTTTGCCATCTATTGTTCCCAGCATTAGGCTCTTCTCCAGGGAGGGCTTCCTTCTCATTAGGTGGCCAAAGAGTTTCATCTTCAGTATCTGGCCTTCTAAAGAGCAGTCAGGGTTGATCTCCTCTAGGACTGACCGGTTGGATCGCCTTGCGGTCCAAGGGACTCACAGGAGTCTTCTCCAGCACCACAATTCGAAAGTGTTTCGCATAATTTTTTTATTATTTTCTCTGCAATCTAGCATTAAAAATAACAGTTATTTCAGACATCGGATATACTGGGTTGACATCTTTCTCTTTTTAACAGTCAATAACCATATTCAGATCTACGCATAGTCCCGTTTCTCTAGCCGATAATAAAAAGAGTTCCAAATGTGGTAGAGATCTGCATCCTCCTCCTCCTTTAGAGACAAGGTCAATCTGTCCATTTCCACGCATTCCAAAATCCTTTTTAAGATCATTTCTTCAGTGAGTGTCTCTTCATTCCTCAAGTGGTGAGCAGATACAATCCTTGCCACAGTAATTACATGTAAAATCAAATATATAGCCTGTTTATCAAAGGCATCAAGAATAAAGTCTAATAAAAAAGAAATTTCAGGTTTAAATTTATGTTTACATTTCCAACATCTATTTGACATATTTAAGAACATTTTTGCTAATCTATTTGGCAATAGATACTATTTATAAAACATTTACATCTATCTATCTGTCTAACTATAAAACATTTATATAGGTTTTCTTTATATGAAGTTGCTAAGGTTACCTTGATATTTCTTTCCCACAGCTTTTGCCGTTTCTGTAGCTCAATATTATATCCAACATTTTGTGCCCATGTTATCATAGTTTCCTTAAGTTGTTCATCTTTCATTTTCATGCCCAAAAGGAAGTTATATGATCTTTTAATCATTTCTTCATCTGATTTTAAAATCATTTGATCAAATGTTGCTAACTCCTTATAAAATCATACATTCTATAGTCTACACATATCTCGATCGTATTTGAACTTTGTGCCACCAAGAAATGTCAATACCCTTGCAATATATAAGCTGCCATCCAGTTTGTAAATCATGCACCTCAAGATACAGAATTCCCTTAGAATTATCCATTCTCCCTCAGAAGTTTATGCCTTCGAACATAACTTGACTCCATAAACCAGGTTAAGCTCTTTATCAATCTCTTCCTTTTCCAAAGCAGGAGCATCTGCTGGCATAATGTTTATTAAATCACCTGGGTTTTAAGTTTTTGCCTCTGGTGTATTCTGAAATTTTAAATAATCCAACACCTTCTCCATCTCCAGTAAGGCAACTGAATCCCGTAATGACTTATTTGCTTGTGTTAATTGTTGCGTCTCTTTATCCATCTTTTCAGTTTTCTTATCAGTATCACCAGTCTTCTTTTCCACTTCTTGTATTTTTGGTTCATTTTGTTTTGTTTTATCTGCAAGTTGATTATTTATATCCAAGACATGACTATCCAGTTTATCCAATCTTTCCTTTTGTTCCGAAGCCAATTTTTGTATAGCATTTTGCATAGACTCTTTAGATGCTTACATAGACGTTAGAGATGCTTGCATTGCCAAAAGTGTCATTTGTAGGTCTTTTTGAAATTTTTCCAAATCCACAGTTTTTAATTAATGTGTTGGACTTTGCGAGGCAGACGCAGGTGCTGAGGATGATGGATGAATTTTTTTCATGATGAAAATGAAAGGTTTAATTGAGAAAATTTTTAAATAACCTGTTGTGGTACTAAATGGCCACTGGGTGGCAGCAAAAAAATCACAAAGAAAAAAAAATTTGGCAAGCGATGTACCTGTTGCAGGATGAAATGACCACAGTGTGGCAGCAAAAAGTTACTTGTTAGTATAACGAACACAAAAAGACCTTCAACTTTATGCAGGAACTGGAAAGATCAAATCGCCATGTCATGTCCAAAAGGGGCATACAGAAATGAAACAGGAAAAAAAACTTTTTCTACCAATTAATATACAGTAAGTTCAAATTTAATTATTTGCCCTTGGGGAGATTAAACATTAAAAAAAATACCTTTTTTCCCCAGTTTCACTTAATCTCTCCTAGATATGTCGCGGCTTGAGCTCCACGGGGGGAGTTTCCTCCCTTTGTCAAGAGGACCTTTATTTTTTTAATTCAGATTGATAATTATTTCACAGGTTCTTTCACAGGCAGTATTTTGACTGGTTTGATTGCTCAGCAGGTCCAATGTCCACTTTTAAACTTTTTTCTCCACTACCAAACCGACGCCGGCAGCTTGTGTGGGGGGGTGCACCCCTCTCTCTCCATTCACTGAGAATTCTCCCGATTTTCTCCTGACGAATGGAGGACCGGCCCCCCCCCCACCGCCTGCCAGAAGTGTGCTCGGGCGTCTAATCCCTGCCCCGACAGGGTTTGGATGGGCCTCCCAGGGCCCTCTGTAAAATGGATTTCAACGTGAAGTACAGGATTCCCGTTCTCCACAGCCATCTTGCCGCGACGTCAACCGGAAGTCCCCACAATTCGAAAATGTTAATTCTTCGGTGCTCAGCCTTTCTTACAATCTAACTCACACAGTCATATACTACAACTGGGAAAACCATAGCCCTGACCATATGCACTTTTGTTGGCAGGGTGATGTCTCTGCTTCTTAGTATGCTGTCTAGATTTGCCATAACTTTCCTCCCCAGGAGCAAGCGTCTTTTAATTTCTTGGCTGCAGTCCCCGTCTGCGGTGATCTTGGAGCCTAGGAAAATAAAATCTGTCACTACCTCCATTTCTTCCCCATCTATTTGCCTGGAAGTGAGAGGACCAGATGCCATGATCTTACTTTTCTTAATGTTGAGTTTCATGCCAACTTTTGCGCTCTCCTCCTTCACCCACATCAAGAGGCTCTTTAGTTCCTCTTCACTTTCTGCCATGAGAGTGGTATCATCTGCATATCTGAGGTTGATACTTCTCCTGGCAATCTTAATTCCAACTAGTGATTCATCTAGGCCTGCCTTTCTCATGATGTACTCTGCATATAAGTTAAATAGGCAGGACGACAGTATACAGCCTTGCTAAACTCTTTTCTCAATTTTGAACCAAACAGTCCAGTTCTCACTGTTGCTTCTTGACCCGCATATAGGTTCCTCAAGAAACAAACAAGATGGTCTGGTACTCCCATCTCTTTAAGAACTTGCCACAATTTGTAGTGATCCACACAATCAAAGGCTTTAGCATAGTCAATGAAGCAGAAGAAGATATTTTTCTGGAACTCCCTAGCTTTCCCCATGGTCCAGCGTATGTTGGCAATTTGATCTCTAGTTCCTCTGCATCTTCGGAATCCTGCCTGTACTTCTGGTAGTTCTCGGTCCACATACTCCTGGAGCCTAGCTTGTAGGATTTTGAGCATAACTTTGCTAGCATGTGAAATGAGTGCAATGGTGTGGTAGTTTGAACATTCTTTGGCATTACCCTTCTTTGGGATCGGAATGTAAACTGACCTTTTCCAATCCTGTGGCCACTGTTGAGTTTTCCAAATTTGCTA